AGAAAATAAGGGTAACTAGTTCGGGTAGAAAAAGATAGACAGACGGACATGCTTATATCAACTCAGGAGGGGATCCTGATTAAGAATATATATGGGCATTTTCTGGGGTCGCGAACATACGTTCGTATGCAATTAGTGCCAAAAAATTAAAGAAAAAAACATTTTCTGATACTTTTATTTTTGTTTCCGATAGCATTTGGTGAGTTCTTTTCTAAGTGTAAATTATCATTCTAATGAATTTTTCATTTTCATAATATGTATTGGCAAAAAACATGACTTCACGAACGTACGCGAAATCGAAGTCTGTTTTGCCTTGCTCTAGCAAAATCAAAAAATCTGCGAATATTTTAATGCAATAACTTTACTGTTAAAATAGAGGCATGTAGCTTTTTATCGAGTCTATTCCCAATTAAATAGCTCCATTAATTTTTTTTTTAAATTAAATTTTAATTTTATTTTTAATTTTAATTTAATTTAATTTAAATTTTCACTTCTTTAATCCATCTACAACATTTATAGGCTTGTTAAACAAAACAAATTTTTTTTTTTAAATAATATTATTTTTTGAACGTACGTCATACATACGGTCGCAAACGAACGCCACTTTAAAATTCAATATAAAAAAATTTTCTTTAAAAAGTCAAGACTCCTCTTATAATATTGTTATTAAGAGATTTAGTACAAAAAGAGCAAACACATCAAATTTTTTACTTGAGAAATAAATAAACACAAAAATGTCTTTAAAAGTAAAAAATAAGGGGAAAATTACAATTTTTGGCTTTTTGAGCTTTTTTTTTAAAAAAAAAAAGCTGAGATATGCTATGAATCCAATAGATTATGAAAATTTTGATATTTATTTATGAAAATACAAAAAAACATGAAAGGAAAGCTAACTTCGGGCGGAGCCGAAGTTTATATACCCTTGCAGTTAAAACCGGATATATATCGCAAACATCGGATATAGTTGGCCGATCCTTATGGGAATATGAATAATTAATCCAATTTATTACAATATAAAATCTAAAAAAAGTCCCAAACTTCTATCTTCAAAAATACGAAAGTTGATATTTCTACCAAATACCATTTCCGATCGTTCAGTTATATGGCAGCTATAGGATATAGTCGGCCGATCCTAATGAAATTTGGTAGGTCGGATTAACTGACCAAAAATATAATCTGTACCAAGTTCCAGCTTTCTATCTTCAAAAACACGAAAGTTGGGTCATTTCCGATCAATCAGTTATATGGCATTTATACACTCAAAATAAAATTTACCCTTAAATTTAGAAATTCGCCATAAAACTTAATTGTTTCTAAATACAAGAAAAAATTTCTAGTTTCTAGAAAAAATTTTCTGAAAACAAGAAAAATTTCTTAAATCAAAGAAGTTTTTCTCAAATATAGAAATAGTCGCCATAAACTAAAATCGCCCTAAAATCAAGAAAACTTTTCTATAATTAAGGCAAATTATGACTTATTTTCAGGAAATATTTTCTTAATAATAGAAAGGCTCACCATAAAATTTACTAACCCTAAAAAATAGAAAACTGTTTCTACAATATAGAAATCCTTTTCTTAAAAAGATACTAACCCTAAAATATAGAAAACTGTTTCTACAATATAGAAATTTCTTTCTAAAAAAGTTACTAACCCTAAAAAATAGAAAACTGTTTCTACAATATAGAAATTCTTTTCTTAAAAAGATACTAACCCTAAAAAATAGAAAGCTGTTTCTACAATATAGAAATCCCTTTCTAAAAATGCACGGTGTTACCCTTTAATTTAAGTAACCCTAGAAAATAGAAATATTTTGTTTAATATAGAATTTTTTTTATATTTTATCTCTGTCCGTGGTCGGCACCCAATACATTGATATGATTTTAACGCATTAGTATTAGTATAGCAGAAAGCAGAAAGTAGGCACTAAGCATGACGCGTCATGACGTTTCACACACTTATACTGTGTGTGTGGCAGAGCACGGGCAGATAAATGCAGACTGATCTATATTATATTTTATGTATAAAGTTTTAACATGTTAAATACAAAAAATCATGTTAAGAAATAATGTAACGATATTTAAACTATCTCTAAGATGTTGACATTACAAGTTTATTAAAAAGTTTATTTAAAAAGTGCTAATTGATTCCTTGCTGAAAAAGATAAACTGAGAACCCTTTTCTTTTTTTTCGCTGGTAAGTTACTAAAAACGTTACTAATTTCATAAGCAATTTAATTTAATTACTAATTAAATTAATCTAGAGCTAATTGTGGAAAGACATGATAGATCTTAACATCGGAAAAAAGCCAGAAGGTCTGCTGCATATGGCAAAATTTATCATTTGAAGGCTAAGGAGAAAAAGTTATCAACTGGTAAATTACGCCCCACTTCAAAGGTTAAAAATAATTTCCCAAATACATTTTCAGGTAATATGGCTGATGTTCAATAGTGAAGAGGTGAAGCTTAGCCTTGCAAACGCAAAATTTGATCTTACTTTTGAGTGGCGCAAAAGTTTCTTTTTCTAGGACGATACAAGTGTAGCTACACTTAGCTTAGGAGGAATTGCCCATTCTTAAGCAGAATTGTGAAGACAAATTGGTAATATTTTTTATACATTAATTTTGTTTTATTTAATGCATTTATTGAATAAATTCTTAGATTGTGGCAATTTTTTCTCTCATTTCGTTAAAAGGAAGTCCAGAGTTTTAAAACATTCCCTCAACAAAGCGAAGGTAAAAAGGCAATAATTACACTACCTTAAAAGATGTTTTAAAACATTCACAATTAAATAGTATATTAATATATTTATATCGCAATATTAATTGACGTTATTTTCCACAGATAAAAAGGACGCACATGATTCACGCTATTCTAGTCCCCACCAAAAGGGGAAAACATGAGGCTACTGGAATTTTAAAAGTCAAGTATACAATTCAAGATTCGAGGGTCAAATTTATTATATACCATAAATAAAATGTTCTGTGAAAGTAAGAACTGAAGAGAGCTATCAAAGAAAACAAATGTAAATGTAAAAATAATGTAAAAATATGTAAATGTATGATGTAATATGTAATGTAAAATGTAGAAATAAAATTTCTAGAATTTAGAAAAGGTCACCTTTAATTTAAGGAATATTTGTATATATTGTAGAAAGGGTTATCTTAATTTTAGGGCGCCTTGCCCTGGGGCTTAGAAAAAATCGCCATAAAATCAAGACATTTTTTCCTTAGTTTTAGAAAAGTACTTTCTAAAACCTAGAAAAACAAACCCTAAATTTAAGAAATTTTTTTCTATTTTTTAGAAATTTTTTTCTTATTTTTAGGGAAATTGGCCTTAGATTTTAGAAAGGAAACGCCATTAATTTTAGAAAAATGTACCCTAAATTTAAGAAATTTTTTTCTATTTTTTAGAAATTTTTTTCTTATTTTTAGGGCAATTTTCCTTATATTTTAGAAAGGAAATGCCATTAATTTTAGAAAAATTTACCCTAAATTTTATGGTGCGGTGCCGTTGAAGACAAAAATAGGGCGAATTTCTAAATCTTAGGGTTAATTTTTTTTTGAGTGTAGGATATAGTCGGATCCTATAGATCCTTACGAAATTCCTTACGATCCTTACATGTCGTATTATTTGAAAAGTAAAATTTGAACTCTCTCACTCTAAAACAGTGATCGGCACCCCAATACATTGATATGATTTTACCGCATTAGTGTTAGTAACGAATAGCAGAAAGTAGGCTGTGAGCATGACGTTTCACACATTTGTACTGTGTGTGTGTGGCAGAGCTCGGGCAGAGAAATTTCCTATGCCCCCGAGATAGGGCCGTGCCGACCTCTGCTCTAAAAACACCGAAGTTATACCAATTCCGATCAATCAGTTATATGGCATTTATAGGATATAGTCGTGTAAAGTTTCAAGTCGATAGCTTTAAAACTGAGAGACTAGTTTGCGTAGAAACAGACAGACGGACAGACGGACATTCTCATATCAATTCAGGAGGTGATCCTGATCAAGAATATATATACTTTATAGGGTCGGAGATGTCTCCTTCACTGCGTTGCACACTTTTGACCAAAATTATAATACCCTCTGCAAGGGTATAAAAATCGAGAAATTTGGACATTTATTTTTCGGTCCTGGTTGACCATCCGCCGGAATAGCCGATATACTTTATAGGGTCGGAGATGTCTTCTTCACTGCTCCTTCATTTTGAAACAAACTTGAACTGCGTGGGATTGTAGGAGTCTTCATGCCAAGTCCTATAGCTCTATCTCTTATAAACGGACAGGCATACATGGCCATATCGACTCGACTGTTGAAGCTAAAATTCTACGGGTACCGGGTATACAAATTGGAAATTGTCGGCCTGTTTTATTTCCTGTCACAAATATTTAATAACTTATCTTTGCAATTTGAGTGTCGTTTCGATGTGTTAGTTGAAATTTTTTATAATTTACAGGTATTGAATTCATCAATTTTAAATTTTAAGCTCAAATATCTTTTTTCTTGAAAAATACTGAATTTTGGCTATTTCCTTTTCGGGATGGGGAACTCAGCGCCATTATTGCTGCCAAAAATGTTTGCACACTTGACGGATGCCGCAGAGGCTCTTGGTCCCTTCGAGCAGCAACATTTGTTCGCGATTTGCAGCGCGAGGATGAGTAGGAGAGCGGGGATTTCACTGCACTAATGACGCAAATCGGCCTAAATAACAAGTTTCTGGCATTTGGTCAACAAGTTGGAGCTAGCTCAGCAGTCTAGGTTTTTGTGCAGTCCCACCCCCTTAATGAGACGCAATGAGGAGTAACCACTGGATCTGAGACTTGGACGCGAAATGGAAATTAAAATGCACTCCCAGCTGTGGCAGATGCTGGACGTTGCCAGGCGGTTGAGTATTTAATTTAATTGAGTAAACCTAGACAAAAATTCAAGTCAAATGAAGTGGTATGATTCTATCTAAGGCTTGTACCAAATATTTAATTTCGTTTTTTGTTTTGAAATTTAAATACATCTACATTAGAACAAAACCTTACGGCGGGCAATGAAATTCGAAATATGGAACAGGAATGACGCCAACAGGAGTGCTGATGAGTGTGAAGCGAGAGCAGAACGTAGGAGCCTTGCCTTCCAACGTCATATTCAATTGCAATAACTAACTACGAAAATAGTTAGAATAATTCGAAATGTCGATGAGGCTAAACGACGAAGCCATGCGGCAGTTTCGGGTGGGCGGTCTCTTCAAGGACTCGGAGGACCTCAAGCTCAGCCTGGACTTCTCGTTTGACGGCAAGCGCCTGCTCGTGTGCGACCACTCCGTTCTCTCTATTATCAATACCACTTGCCAGGTCGTTCTCAGCCAGGTAAACATGCACCGCTACCGTCCTGATGTCGCCTGCTTCACGCATCGGGATTCCCGTATTCTGCACTCCACCTCCAAGGTATAGCAACATCTTGAGTCTTGCATATTCCTTTAAAAAAAGTTACCTCCTGCTGTCCTTGATAGAATAACTTTTCCATTCGCTACTTGGACCTGAAAACCCATGGATGTATTTGCCGATTTCGTGGGCACAAAAAAAATATTCGGTCCCTGGCCACCCAGCCCGAACATGCGAATATGTTCCTCAGCTCCGGAGAGGATGACCAGGTGTACGTGTGGGACCTCCGATCCTCGAAGCACACCTTCCACTTTACAAAGCTGCACAGGCCGCTGTGTGCCTTCAGCCCAACGGGCTCCCTACTAGCCACTACGGACTCCAATCAGCTCTTCATCTACGACGTAAGGAAGTTGGGTAAGATCCCGTGCTCGACCTACTGTTACTCTGCCAAGGACAAGGCCGCTTGGACTCAACTGCAGTTTTCGCCGGACGGAAAGACACTTCTAATTTCTACGGATAACTCCTGGTGCTTCAGTGTGAGTGCCTTCGATGGATCCTTTCAGCAGTCCTTCACAGGATACTCGAACGAACAGCGACTGCCGCTGGAAGCGACATATTCGCCAGACTCACAGTTCATCCTTTCCGGTGCGGATGCCGGGAGGATCCACGTTTGGCGGGCTGCCGATGGCAAACCCGTGGCAGTGCTCGAGGGAAACAATGTTGGACCTGTGAAGTGCCTCAGATTCAATCCGCGAGCCACAATGTTTGTTAGCAGCGACGTCCTTGTGGCCTTCTGGATGCCCATGGCGAATGGGACCTACGATTGGGTCGAACCTTTGGAGTCATCGCCACCGAATGTCAGCAAAGGCGAAAAAAAAGACGAGCCAGAGGATGGTGGTAAACATGAGTTAGCAGCGGGGGGACAGGATCCTCCAAAAGACGACCATCCGGTTCCCAAAGCTATAGCCTTGCCTGCCCCACTAATAGACTGGGAGAAGCTTAGGAGGAAGTACAGCTCCAGTAATTGGCGTGATGCGAAAAGGGTTTGCAATGAGGAGCCACTGGCTGTTGTAGTAGAAAAGAAGGCTGGTCCTGAGCTGGAGGAGGGCGAGATTCGAGAAGTGTAGTGTAGCATCGTACTGTTTTTGTATCCCATTCCAACTTGTATTACTCACAAGAATCTGAGAAGCCATTTCGATTATTAAAATAGAAAAAAATAAATATGCTTGAGCGTCACCAATCTACAGGCTCTTGACCAGAAAGTTGGCAAACTCATTCATCCATTTACTCGGCTGGAGACGAAACGCAACTTTTCCGGACAGTCCTTATGCTGTCGAGACAAAAATTGTTGAGTTTTGCCAGCAAATTGCACAGCTGGCTGCATTCGACTCAGAGAAAGGAGGTGGGTCCCGGTCGGTGGGCTGCTGGTGGCTGGCTGCTGGAACTTCTGGCCAAGTTTCTGCACGTGTATGTACTCATGCAGCTCTGACAAGCATTTCATTTAGTTTCTGTGGCCATAAAAGAATTCCCTCCCTTTTAATATTAATGAAATCTTTTGCCGAAAAGCCCCAAAAAGAACACACAAATTGCTGTTGAACTTTTCCATGTTGTAACTCTAATTGAATGTGTGGATGGGTTCTCAGCTTCAGCAACTTTCCGTGGGCGATATGAAGTTTCGAATGTGCCGCAAGTTATCTTAAAAGCCAAAATCCCAGAAATAAAGTCAGAATTAATGCCCTAGGTCATTTGCGTACAAAAAAACTGAGCTTCTGTTTGTTTTGATTTGACTTACATGAGTTTCATAACCTTGATCATTTTTCCTGCTACCAACATCTTTTATTTCAATATACAGATTTAGGTCTGTATTTTATTTCAATATAAATATAGAATATGGTATATAAACATTTTTTGCAACTTGAAGAAGTGAATTTTTTATACCCTTGCAGAGGGTATTATAATTTTGGTCAAAAGTGTGCAACGCAGTGAAGGAGACATCTCCGATCCTATAAAGTACTTGATCAGGATCAGCTCCTGAGTTTATATAAGCATGTCCGTCTGTCTATCTGTTTTTAAGCGATCTAGTCTCTCAGTTCTAAGGCTATCGACATAAAACTTTGTACACACCCTTTTTTCCTTTGCACGCAGTATATAAGTCGGAATCGACCGACTAATTAGAAAAGCCATAACTTTGGTGTGTTTAAAGTTAAAGCGTTAACGACATAACAAATTTCATAAGGATCGGCCGACTATGGCAGCTATAGCATGCCAAATAACTGAACTATCGAAAATGATCCAACTTTCGTGTTTTTGAAGATAGAAAGTTGGACCTTCCTACAAATTTTACTTTTGGTTAATTGTTTATTTATTTATTTTTTTATATTTTATTTATATTTTATATATTATTATTTTTATTTATATTTACATATATTTAAAAATTTTAAAGATATTTCTTAATTTTTTTAAGTATCTATTTAAGTAATTAGTAGTAGTTTAAGTAGCTGGCACAAAAAAATAAGTATCTATTTAAGTAGTTAGTAGTAGTTTAAAGAGCTGGCACAAAAAAAATTTAGTCAGAGTTTAATAATGGTTCTAATTCGTGAATACTTCTAAAAAAATTATAACCAAACCATTAAGCTTTAAAAAAAAAGTGTTACCTTATTAATAATACGTAATTTAACATTTAAAACACCTGAAATTAAGCTCCATTTAAAGAGTTGTTTATCACAAATGCCAAAACCTTTAATGTTTGATGAAAGTTGGGCTGCAAGTGTGCAACTGCTAGACACTCGAAAAGTCAACAAACTAACTAAATACACTCCGGTTGAAGTAGTTTTGGGTGTTGCCCATTGGGTGGGGAGCTGAAACAACAAGAACAATAGGAACAGCGGCCGAGGGCTCCTCATTATGCTAATTAAGTATAAAAGTTGAGAAGTGAAACTAAGCAAACATAAATTAACGCATGCGACAAATGTGCAAAGAGAGAGAGAGACTGCGAGAGAGAGTGCGGGCGGAAGCGGAAGTCGGCGTGTCGCCATTTTGATTTGCATGGACATTGCCATTAGCGCGGCAAAGAGTCCCTAACGAGCATCCTTCCAAGCGCATAAATGGCTTTCTCATCTCGTCAGAGCGCAAAAGGAGAAATTAATTAAAAAGGTGGGCACGGAATATAAAAAGAAACGAGCCAGGCGCGTGACTGAATTGTAAAACAAATCACAAATGGTCCTCTTTGGTCCTACACATAGTCGCTTGTTGTTTCCACCTCTCCTCCTCTCTTAAGGACCCTCTCCCGATTCTACTCCCGTTTTCATTGCCACGCACCACAAGTTTCTTTCCCCGGCAGGCCTCTGTCCAATGACGCAAGAATATTTAATGCGTTCGGTAATAAAAGCGGATTTCGTTGGCCCAACACTAATCTTGTTTGGGGCAACCCAATTCGGACGGGCAGGGTGAGCCGTGAGCTTTTCCCTTCTCTTCCCAGCCTTTTGTGGGCTAAATACAAATTCGGCTGTTTTTTTTAGTTCGAGGAAAACTTATTCAACAATTTTATGAATTCCAAGTGGCCATAAGTTGCATGCATCGACTATCGGGGCACATCAAGTTGGTTAACACGTAAACAAAAAGGTAGCTCATTTAAAAAATTTTGAAATTCTATTTAAAGAACTTTGCCAGCACATACACAGCTCGTTATATGTTCTTGATATACATAATCCTTGTTTTAGCGGAAACTGTGAAGATACTTGGTTTGATTCCAACTGAAAATATTTAAAACAAACAAGGAAGGACGGCTATAGTCGAGTTTCCCGACTATATTACCACCCACAATTTAACTAACCCTTAAAGTTTAAGCTTAAACAGTATGAATTCACAGCAACCATTTTTGTTGCATAATTTTGCGCTTGGGCAAAAAAACGACTGCGACTTGGACAAAAAAAAATACGACAAAATTTTGACACAAACTTCCAAATCAGATACCTTTGTCTCTTATAGTCTTTGAGATCCACGCGTTCAAAATTTTAGCTTGTTAGTATGGGAAATTGCATATATATGGGAATAACTCCTCTAAAAATAAGGCGAATGGATTAAATTTATTTTTCGGTTACATATGAACTGTAGAAATAGTTTAGCTTCAAAAGATTTTCAAAAAATCCAGCACGAGCGCTACAAAAGTTCAAAATTTGGGGCGCGGCGTAGGGCGCGCGGCAAAATTATGAAACAAACTTGAACTGCGTGGGTATTGTAGGAGTCTACTATAGGAGCCAAATTCTATAGTCTTTTAGTCTCTCGGCTGTTGACTCGGCTGTTGATACTTATTAAGAATACATATATATACTCTATGTGGTCGAAGAATGATTCCTTCTCTAACTTACATACATTCACACATTCACATATACACTTATAATATAAATATTAGGTGAAGGATAAACCTTCTGAAACATTTCTAAATGTTTTCTGCAACACGCTTATTTTGCTTGTCACTGTTAAAAATGCATGATTTAAAGGCTGGTTATTTGTTATTATAAAGACTCATTTTGACAGGAATACTCCGGTGAGTTCGAAACGGGTGACTACAAGTCCGAGCCTAAAGGCAAACTTTTAAATTACTCAACGGGCACTTTCAATAATGGTGAACCCGATTCCCGAAGCAAAGCCCCCAGACAAGGTTCTAACATGCCCGGTAGAAGGAAAACTTTTGCCAACTGCCGCTCAAAATTTACTCCTTCAGTCGACATTGACTTCCCCGCTTTTCCGCCGCCACTTCTCTATTTTCCTGCCGCGCTTTCGACAAAAGTTGTGTTAAAGTTTTTTCTTTTTTGTCGAAGGACGCCCAGGCAGGATGTCTATTTCCGCCTCTGGCATAAAAATAACAATCGACTTGCAGTTTGAATACGTCAGGCGAAGGACGAAACTTTTCGCTTTTCCGATGCTCCACATTGCCCGCTCGTCGATGTGTTCTTTCTCTATTTCGTGTTTTTTATTTCCCTAAGACGGCGGGATTAAGTGGATTTTTAAGTGCCAGGGCAAAAGTGGCCACGGACTACGGATTAGGCCCAGGCGACACAATTACATGAACGGTCTTTCCCTTTTGACGGTGTTTAGCTTTCGTCATGAGTGGACTTTGCCATTAACAGGACGTGCTAATGGGAGAAGTCCTAGAAGGGAAGGAAGGGCTTGCTTTCTTCCGCCGTGTCGGGGCCTATTTTTGGTGTTTCCAAGAAGATCGCAATCTCGCATCTAACAATATACATATACCTTCTAGGGAATTTTCCCCTGCAGAATATGTATATATATTTTTTTTAGTATGTTGAATGAAATCAAAATTTTCTCTAACAGCTAACCCAAATATTGTTACTAAATTTGTTTGAGCAAACAATCTCCTATAAATAATTTACATAAACAGACGTCGCTTAGAATCCCATTTGGGTGCTTAGGGCAGACGAATAGGAATTGCCACTCCACATTGAGTTCAGAAGATACTTTACTCCTTGATTCTTTCTAAAACTGGAATTCTATTGCCTATCAAACAACACCATCGGAAAGAATTTGGTCATATAAATGATGTTACTAGGTTCAATTTGGGTTGTGATTGCCCCAAATTAGCCGAGCAATCTGTTCACCCTTCTTGCAGCTCGGCAATTCGTGCTGACAATTGTGGCGATTTGGCAATTGTCCACTCCGACCTGGCCCCCCTTGTCCCTCCAGTTCTGGCGGGCAGTTGTCAGTCACTCAATCAGGCATTCAATCAAACAGTTTTCATACAAACACGCCCGGAAAGTTGCGGACCCGAGAACCCTAAACTTTGATTTGCCATTTTGACACGCCGCTAAATTGGAATTTTTGCTTTCAGCTTTGTGAATTGGCCCTTGTCGTCCTTCGTAGGACGCAGGACACTGCCCAATAACGGGGAACTGTGGTCATTTGAGAGTGGACTGTTCTGTTCTAGGATTAAGAATGGATTCTATCGTGCTAACAACAAAAAATATGTGGATTGTTTTATTGTTAGGATTTTTATACATAATATTATATTATATTGTTATTTTTATTCTATTCTCAGCTTTTCGAAAATTATTTTTTAAAATACTTTTCAAAATATTATTCAGTCATTTAAAAATATTACAGATTTCCGGAGAAAATACTTCAATAAAGTAACAGAACTATTAACGTCTTTTATGTGGAACCCTAAAAAATTCAAGCGGACAGAGGCAGTTTCAAATCTTTTGACGTTTTTGGCCTTTG